TCGGTACCTTCCTGACAATTGGGGGGGATATCTGTCCCGTCCTGACATTAGGGGGATATGTCTGTCCAGTCCTGACATTGGGGGATACTCTGTACCGTCCTGACATTTGGGGGATATCTGTACTGTCCTGACATTTGGGGGATATCTGTACTGTTCCTGGGGGGATAGCTCTGACATTTGGGGGGATATCTGTTACCGTCCTGACATTTGGGGGGATATCTGTACCGTCCTGACATTTGGGGGGATATCTGTACCGTCCTGACATTTGGGGGATATCTGTGCCGTCCTGACACTTGGGGTATATCTGTGCCGTCCTGACACTTGGGGGGGATATCTGTGCCGTCCTGACATTTGGGGGATATCTGTGCCGTCCTGACACTTGGGGGACATTCGGGGGATATCTGTACTGTCCTGACATTTGGGGGTATATCTGTACTGTCCTGACATTCTTGGACCTCAAGAAATTAGATTGGCTGTCAGTACTTCAGGATTGATCAATATTCAGATCTATACCATAGTTTGTGAACTCTATAACTTTCCTACAAACTAAATAATACATCCTAATTTGGGTTATTGTCACCAAAGACATGGAGCAGAATACATCTCGGCCTAAATTTATGAAGAACAATTATTTATTTGTAAACTTTTATAACAGAACCAAAGAAAACGTGTTTTTTTTTTCAAAATTTTCGGTCTTTTTTTGTTAATTTAGCAAAAAATAAAAACCCCAGCAGTGATTAAATACCACCAAAAGAAAGCTGTAGTTGTGCGAAAGAAAATGATAAAATTTTAGTTTGGGTACAATGTTGTATGACCCGCGCAATTGTCATTCAAAATGTGAGAGCGCTGAAACCTGAAAACTGGCCTGGGCAGGAAGGTGTAAAATTGCCCGGTATTGAATTGGTTAATTAAGTCCGGAGCGTAGATATTTTACTTAATAATGAAATTTATCAATGAGAACTTCACTTTTTCTTTACATATTTTATATTAGGCACGATGATGCCACTGATGGGTCTCTGTGTTTCTCTAGGCAATGTAGGTAGATCATGGCTGGTGGGAGGGGACAGCAGGGTGATGTACTTGCCAACCCCTTGCCTCAGTATTCCTCTCAAGAGCCCTTGGTCCTGATGCAAGCAGTGGGAGGAGCTATGCAAATATCAAAATGCCTTGATGGCTGGGTGTAGTCTGGAGGAGTGGGCGGTCCTAGGCAGGCTGTATTTGCATACGGAACACCAAGGCTTTTTTTTTTCTAAGAATAGGTGTAGGACCCCCCCCCCCCCCGCACTCACCCCTTGTCTCTGTCCCCTACACACCTCTGGGCACCGTCCATTGGTTTCACCCCCTACTCACTTCCCAGTACCACCCCACAACATTAGATCCCCCACAAAAGATCCCCCAGCATCAATAGACCTTCCAAGCACCCCTGACCATTACATACACTCAGTGCTGGAACTGCGCTGCCCCGTGTTACCGCTGAACCTTGGGTCATGCCCACATGTGATGCTGAGCCTCCAGGATTAAAAGAACTGTCCAATGAATGAAATGGGCGGGGCCAGAGACAGTCAGGCTGGGGAGGAAAGCGCTAGATGATGTTAGACGTCCTCCAGCCAGGAAATGAGGCGGAGCTCTATGTGACTGGCTGCAGCTTCTAATGCACATTGTGAGAAGCTCCCAGTGTGCAGTGACATCAGAGGAAGACATTCCAGTCCAGGAGAGGAGCCGATACACCTGTGCAAGACTGAAGGGGAGGAGCCGGTACACCTGTGCAAGACTGAAGGAGGAGCCAGTACACCTGTGCAAGACTGAGGGAGGAGCCAATACACCTGCGCAATGCTGAAGGGGAGGAGCCGGTACACCTGCGCAAGGCTGAAGGGGAGGAGCCGATACACCAGTGCAAGACTGAAGGGGAGGAGCCGCTACACCTGTGCAAGACTGGAGGGGAGGAGCCGGTACAACTATGCAAGACTGGAGGGGAGGAGCCGTTACACCTGTGCAAGGCTGAAGGGGAGGAGCCAGTACACCTGCACAAGGCTGAAGGGGAGGAGCCGATACACCTGCGCAAGACTGAAAAGGAGGAGCCGCTACCCCTGCGCAAGACTGAAGGGGAGGAGCCGGTACACCTGTGCAAGACCAAAGGGGAGGAGCCGGTACACCTGTGCAAGACCGGAGGGAAGGCCGGAGTTCAGCTTTAATAAATCTATGATAGGATTGTGGCTGCGGTTTTTTCTTATCTCCGCCGTACTCTTTATAAACTGAAGGAAACAACAACGCACTTTTTGTGAACGTGTAAAAATGCAAAACACGGCGGAGGACCATCTGGCGCACACCTGTGATAATGATCCGCGCGCTATTTATAGAGATAAATAAATGGCATTCAAGATTGCCTAATGCACCGCGTAAAATCCACTTACGGACGGCGCTCTTCACAGAGAAGACAAAGATGCGCGAGGAGCGCTGCGAGTTCAGACAATGACTTCCCCAAGCCTCTTACCATTCCTCATTTAAAGCTCTTGTCGCTGGAAGCGATCCGCACTCAGGAGCCGAGGGACCGCCGTCTCGCTGACATAGGCACAGATAACGGCACTCGTGCGCCTTTTGTTTGGGCTGCGGCAGACCGGCGCTGGAGATTGTCCTTCGCCAGTCACCCCACCTGGCAGCTGGGCTGACGATGGAGCTTCTGTTGATGAAACTGCATTGTGTGTAATGGCGTGTTCGGAACTGCTTTGTGAGAAGAAGTAACATTCTATGTCCCGTGCAAAACATTAAGGAGCTTTTCATTTTCTAGAAATACATTTTTACAATAAATACTGAATTTCAGGCAGACAGATGAAGTACATCCTGTATACAGGAGCGGGTTTACCTGCCAGGATTTGTATTTCTGTCCATCCAGTCCTGAGATTTACACAGCCCTGCTACACAGCACAGCCCTGTCCAGCAGGGGAGGAGGCCTAATCATTCTTTGCTGCGGTTCAGTAACATTAACAGGTCTGGTCCCTCCCCCAGCCTGTGGTTGGACAGTGAAAGTAAGTGCATCAAAATGATTGGTTCTTTGCTCCGTCACTGAGAATATGTGAGAACTGCAGCACACCTCACTGACTCCTTGTACTGCTTCTCCATTTGCCAGCCTGAGCCCTGCTGTACAGGGAATAAAATGGATGAATACCAGGTTTGGGGTATTTAGTGATTTGCCTGTTAATGAATTAAAATCCATTTAATGACGTGTGATTGAAGAAGCAGCCGCATTAATTTATGTCTTTGATATCCGCCTGGAGTTCATCAGACTCTGCAGAAACTTTATTCTGGTATTTCTCCGTCCATGTTTGTTGAAATTTTTAAATGCGGACAAAGTGACAGTGTTTCCATTTTTTTATATCGCAAGATCTGTGCTTATAAGAGGAGCAATAAAAAATATCAAAAAGTATCAATAATACATGTAATAAAAACAATGGCACCCTGACTGCCAATAGGTATGGGGATGAGATCCTTGGACCCATTGTGAGTCCCTACGCTAGTGCTAGGGGTCCTGGTTTCCTCCTGGTGCAGCGGGCCCCGGGTTCCTCCTGGTGCGGAGGGACCCGGGTTCCTCCTGGTGCGGCGGGACCCGGGTTCCTCCTGGTGCGGCGGGACCCGGGTTCCTCCTGGTGCGGCGGGACCCGGGTTCCTCCTGGTGCGGCGGGACCCGGGTTCCTCCTGGTGCGGCGGGACCCGGGTTCCTCCTGGTGCAGTGGGTCCTGGGTTCCTCCTGGTGCAGTGTGTCCTGCGTTCCTCCTGGTGCAGTGGGTCCTGGGTTCCTCCTGGTGCAGGACAATGCCTGTCCTCATGTGGTGAGAGTATGCAGGCAGTTCCTGGAGGATGAAGGAATTGATACCATTAAATGGCCCCCACGCTCTCCTGACCTAAATCCAATAGAACCCCTCTGGGATGTCATGTTGCGGTCCATCCGACGCCACCAGGTTGCACCTCAGACTGTCCAGGAGCTCAGTGATGCCCTGGTCCAGATCTGGGAGGAAATCCCCCAGGACACCATCCGTGGTCCCATTAGGACCCTCCCCCGACGTTGTCAAGCATGCATACAAGCACGTAGGGGCCACACAGACTACTGAGGACCATTCTGAGTTGCTGTAATGAATGGACTCGCCTGCTGCATCATTTCTTCACTTTGATTTTCGGGGTGTCTTTGAATTCAGTCCTCTGTAGGTCGATCATTTCCATCCAACAATGGGGCGTCCTTACATTCCTCACCCATCCCCCGTCCATGTCAGTACAGAGATCCAGCAGAAGATTAGTCCCCATTAAGATCTGATGGGTTTTCAAAGTCTTTCCTTAATTTTTTTTCAGCTGTGTATAATACAACGTATAAATAATACATGTAATAAAGAGCAACAATAAATATATTATAAAACATCAATAATAAAGAGCAACAATAATATAATACAAAGTGTCAATATTATAATAAAGAGCAACAATAATAAATATAATACAAAGTATCCATAACAAATATATTAAAGAGAAACAATAATTTAATACAAAGTATCAATAAATATAATACAAAGTGTATATATAATACAAAGTATCAATAAATATAATACAAAGTGTATATATAATACAAAGTATCAATAATAAATGTAATAAAGAGCAACAATAATATAATACAAAGTATCCATAAATAGAATACCAAGTATATATAATACAAAGTATCAATAATATAATAAAGAGCAACAATAATAAATAAAATACAAAGTATCCATAACACATATATTAAAGAGCAACAATAATATAATACAAAGTATCAATAAATATAACACAAAGTATATATAATACAAAAATTATATGAATTAAATAATTTGGGTTTAGCGTTGCATGATTAAGCAATTACCAGATAAAGTTGCACAGTAGCACAGTGCTGAATAGGAAAAAATGATCTGGTCATGCAGGGGGGGGGGGGGCGGGGTCTGGGAAATCTTCCAGAGGGCAAGTGGATATTTATTTTTATTACTCTTTGTTATATTTATTATGTATACTTTGCATTATATTTATTACTATTGCTCTTTATTATAATATTGATACTTTGTATTATATAGACTTTGTATTATATTTTACTGATACTTTGTATCATAATTGTTGATCTTTATTACATTATTGATACTTTGTATTATATTTATTATTGTTGCTCTTTATTATATTATTGATAGTATTATATTATTGTTACTCTTTATTACATTTATTATTGATACTTTGTATTATTAATAATAAAGAGCAACATTTAAAAATGCAAAGTAACAATAATAAAATATAATACAAAGTAACAATAATAAATATAACAAGAAGTAAAAATAATATAATAAAGAGCAACAGTAATCAATACAAAGTAATATAATACAAAGTATCAATAATTAAAGAAGTTTGGGGTTACCTAAAAACCAAACATACATACTCCTCTCTATGAATCAGCATTGCTGTGATGCTGCAGCTGCCCCTGCCGTCTCCAGGACTGAGAACGGAGTGATCCCATAACCACCAAATGCTCAATTCTCATTCCGCTCAGAGCGGAGATCAGTGACTGTCAGTCACCGCTCTCCACTCTGCCCCTCCAACAGTCACTGGGAAGGGGGTGAAAGTGGCTCTCTCAAACTCTGTGTCTGCTGTCAATCGGGCATCTGGGTGTTTCCCGACAATATGGTCGGGATCCTTCCAGAGCCTGGAGTTGCTCTGGGACATCAGCCAAAAGCAGGCTTTAGACTGGTGTCAGGTAATTTTGGGTAATCATTGCACCCTTGTGACAGAGAACAGAAGTATGGCCAAAAGAGCTTTATCCATACTTGTCAATATAACAAAGCATAACAATGATACATTGATCAGCCATAGCTTTATGACCACCCACCTAGTACTAAGTAAGTCCTCCTTCTGCCTCCAAAACAACCCTGACCCATCCAGGCATGGACTCCTCACGACCTCTGAAGGTATGATGTGGTATCTGGCACCAATATGATTGTAGCAAATGGTTTAAGTCCAGTAAGTTGGTAGGTGGGGCCTCCATGGGTCAGACTTTTTTTTTTCCAGTACATTCCATAGATGCTCCATTGGATTGAGATCTGGAGAATTTTGAGGCCAAGTCAACACTCATTGTTGTTTCGCTCCCAACCATTCTTGAACCATTTTGCTATCCTGCTAAAAGAAGCCACTGTCATCAGGGAATGAAGGGGTGGACTTGGTCACCAAACATGTTAAGGTTGGTGGTACATGTAAGGTAACATCCACATGAATGGCAGGACCCATGATTTCCAAACAGAACATCGTCTAAAGCCTCCACCAGCTTGTCTTCTTCCAATACTGCATCCTGGTGGGAACTTATGGTTCACCCGGCCAAAACTGGGTGAATCCCATTCTTCAGGAAACCTGCTGAGGCAAGGTCCACCCAAATACTCACGGTACACCCAGCCAAAACTGGATGGATCCGATGCTTCAGGAAACCTGCCGAGACAAGGTCCACCCAAATATTTATGGTTCACCTGGCCAAAACTGGGTGAATCCCATTCCTCAGGAAACCTGCCGATGCAAGGTCCACCCAAATACTCATGGTTCACATGGCCAAAACTGGGCGGATCTCATTCTTCAGGACACAAGCCGAGGCAAGGTCCACCCAAATACTCTTGGTTCACCCTGCCAAAACTGGCTAGATCCTGTTCTTCAGGACACCTGCCGAGGCAAAATTCACCCAAATACTCATGGTTCACCCGGCCAAAACTAGGCGGATCCCATTCTTCTAGACACCTGCCGAGGAAAGGTCCACCAAAATACTCATGGTTCACCCGGCCAATACTGGGTGGATCCCTTTCTTCGGAAACCTGCCAAGGCAAGGCCCACCCAAATACTCATGGTTCACCTGGCCAAAACTGGGCGAATCCCATTCTTCAGGACACCTGCCGAGGCAGGGACCACCCAAATACTCTTGGTTCACCCTGCCAAAACTGGCTAGATCCTGTTCTTCAGGACACCTGCCGAGGCAAAATCCACCCAAATACTCATGGTTCACCTGGCCAAAACTAGGCGGATCCCATTCTTCTAGACACCTGCCGAGGAAAGGTCCACCAAAATACTCATGGTTCACCCGGCCAATACTGGGTGGATCCCATTCTTCAGGAAACCTGCCAAGGCAAAGTCCATCCAAATACTTGTAGGGGACCCCAAAGGGTGAGAGGGAGATCCTGACCATAAGACTTTCAGGGCAAATCAAGAGGACCTACATGCTACTAAATGTTGGTGAGTTAAAATGCATAGAGCCATGAAAAAAGTACAAAAATAAAAATATTTGGATGCCATGGCTGACCTTCCGGCCAGGAGAAAAGTTCCTCCGGTCCTAAGTGACTTGGATGCCATGGCTGACGTTCCGGCCAGGAGGAAAGTTCCTCCGGTCCCAAGTGATTTGGATGCCATGGCTGACCTTCCGGCCAGGAGGAAAGTTCCTCCGGTCCCAAGTGATTTGGATGCCATGGCTGACCTTCCGGCCAGGAGGAAAGTTCCTCCGGTCCCAAGTGATTTGGATGCCATGGCTGACCTTCCGGCCAGGAGGAAAGTTCCTCCGGTCCCAGCCAAACAGCCCACCCCCGGTGTGGGAAAAAAAAAGCATGCATTGGGTGCTGTGTCCAGAGCTGGGACAAGGGATGGGCAGCTGCCCTGGGCACAGTGAAGCAATGGCGCAAATAGTAGAGGCATAGTGGGGGAGGGGAACAATGCAGGATTCTTGCCCTGGGAGCTGGACGACACTGTCCCATTACTGGCTGTGCCATACAAAAAAAAGTGCAGAGGATGCACCTCTGACCCGGATTCCCCCATGGCATTTAGGAGCCCCCAAATCCATTGACTTCCCCATATTTTATTCTCTATCTCTCTCTATGTTCTAATATTTTCAACTGCCCCCCCCCCCCCCAATTGGATATTTGACCTTTTTGAGCACTTCCATCTTTCTTGCCTAGGCAAGAATGACATAGCGCCCCCCGCAGCCTACTGGGCAGTCACATAGCGAGTTACCCCACTGTGAAGTGTTCTGGCACCCCTGGAGTGGGCAAGCATCACTGGCTTGAACCTCTTCTTGCCCCGGATGAAGCCGGGGCTCACGCACTCTCTGCCATAGGATTTGGAAACTAATTTCTGGGTGTGTCTCCGGAAGGATATGATTCATGGAGACAGAAGACATTTGAAGTATCGTTGCTTATTAATTACTGTAGCAGACGTGTTTTGTACCCGGCGCTCCTCCGGAGGATTGAACACCGCGCAGCATATGCCGAATTCTGGCAATCGTCTGTTTACAGAAGTTTAGAAAATATTTTGAGCAGTTGTGCATGAAATTATTTAATATCCCTCTCGAGAGGAAATGCTAACAATGTTCAAGGCGCTGTTCTCTCGCTCTCCGTGAACGATGTTCTTTTCTTTTTTTTTTCATGTGTATCTCGTGAGAACCTGGACGGCCGAGAGCGCACTTTCCACCGCCGCGGCCTGGAACAAATGGACAATACGGGCACATGTGGCCGATAAAAATAGCTCAAGGTGGACCTTCCGAAACAATTGTAGGTGCTCAATTAACGAGGTCATAAATCTTCTCCGCAATGTTCCGTACTCATTGTCTCGCCCGCTTTACGTAATCGCATAACTTTGTTATAACAAACCGCTTCAGAAAACTTTGGAATGTGCCGCGGCCCTATTTATAGGTAATTTGTCCAAGTGAAGGATGCAAAGTGGTGGAACTTTCCAGATTAGAAATGCTGGTCTCTAGTATACGGCTCGGGGTCCAATGTTTACATCTCCAGGATTTAACCCCTTGGCACTGATTGATTGACTGAAGTGGGCCTTATTCTATATACACTATATTGCCAAAAGTATTGGGCCACCTGTCTTTATGACCTTTAATGGCCTCCCAGTCTTAGTCCGTAGGGTTCAATATTGAGTTGGCCCCGCCCTTCCCACGCACATGACATGTAATGGCCCCCCAGTCTTAGTCCGTAGGATTCAATATTGAGTTGGCCCCGCCCTTTGCAGCTATAACAGCTTCAACTCTTCTGGGAAGGCCGTCCACAAGGTTTAGGAGGGTGTCTATGGGAAGGTTGGACCATTCTTCCAGAAGCACATTTGTCAGGTCAGGCACTGATGTCGGGGGAGGAGGCCTGGCTCACAGTCTCCGCTCTAATTCATCCCAAAGGTGTTCTATGGGGTTGAGGTCAGGACTCTGTGCAGGACAGTCAAGTTCCTCCACCCCAAACTGGCTCCTCCATGTCTTTATGGACCTTGCTTTGTGCACTGGTGGGCATTCATGTTGGAACAGGAAGGGGCCATCCCCAAACTCTTCCCACAAAGTTGGGAGCATGAAATTGTCCAAAATGTTGCTTTAAGAGTTCCCTTCACTGGAACTAGGGGGCCAAGCCCAACCCCTGAAATACAACCCCACACCATAATCCCCCCTCCACCAAACTTTACACTTGGCACAATGCAGTCAGGCAAGTACCGCTCTCCTGGCAACCGCCAAACCCAGACACGTCCATCACATTGCCAGACAGAGAAGCGTGATTGGTCCCTCCAGAGAACACGTCTCCCCTGCTCTAGAGTCCAGTGGTGGCGTGCTTTACACCACGGCATCCGACACTTTGCATTGCACTTGGTGATGGAAGGCTTGGATGCAGCTGCTCGGCCATGGAAACCCATTCCATGAAGCTTTCTACGCACTGTTGTTGGGCTCATCTGAAGGTCACACCAAGTTTGGAGGTCTTTAGCTATTGACTCTGCAGACGGTTGGTGAATTCTGCGCACTGTGCGCTTCAGCATGCGCTGACCCCGCCCTGTCATGTGACGTGGCCTACCACTTGGTGGCTGAGTGGCTGTTGTTCCCAGTTGCTTCCACTTTGTTATAATCCCACTAACAGTTGAGCGTGGAATATTTAGTAGCCAGGAAATGTCACGGATGGACTTATTGCCCAGGTGACCACCTATCACGGGACCACGCTTGGAGTCACTGAGCTCCTGAGAGCGACCCATTCTTTCACCAATGTTTGTAGAAGCCGTCTGCATGCCTAGGGGCTTGATTGTATACACCTGTGTCCATGGAGGGGATTGGAACACCTGAATCACATGATATGGAGGGGATTGGAACACCTGAACCACATGATATGGAGGGGATTGGAGCACCTGAATCACATGATATGGAGGGGATTGGAACACCTGAATCACATGATCGGGAAGGAGGGGACAATACTTTTGGCAATATAGTGTATGCGGTATTGAACACTAAAAAACCTTTTGGAAATTTCCTAAAGAATTAACACACTACGGGACTGACATCCTGGGCCTTAGCGGTCTCACCTGTGGCCATGGAGGTGATTGGCTGCACAGAAAGTTGCTGTCATTTAGCAGACATGAGGCGACGTCATTAATTCTTAATGACACCACCACACATCCAGATGGGGGAGGGGGGGAAGAGATGTGATTGGGGTCATGTATGGGGGGACTCTAATGAGAAGGGTGGGGAAGATTCTGACAGGATGGGGACCTCTGAAATGAAGGGGGTAGTTGTGTGCATCATGCCAGGCTCAGGTTTCCCATTGATGACAAGTAACATTTCAACTCTTTAGAAAAGCTGATCTAATCCTCTGGAACTCTCTACCCCAATCTATCCAACTATCACCTACTCTGCCCACTTTTAGGCGAGCTCTGAAAACCGATCTCTTCAGGGAAGCCTATCCCGCCTTCAGCTAATAACCAAATCTTCTATCTCACCTACCAGTGCATCCCCCACAGTTATTACCTTTTGTACCACCAGCCCCTTCCTCTTAGATTGTAAGCTCCCAGAATCAGGGCCCTCCTAACCCTCTTGTATTGAACTGTATTGTTGCTGAATTCTCTCCCTTTAAATTGTAAAGCGCTGAGCAAACTGTTGGCGCCATATAAATCCTGTATAATAATAATACGTGAATTTCTTATATTTGTCAGCTCCATCTAGTGGCCAAATTGCAGTATATTCCTGAAATACCGCAATTGGGAAAATACCACATTTTGACCACTAGATGGAGCTGACAATCATAGGAAATATTCACATTAGACACATTATAGGGATTATTCGGGACCAAATGAGGCATTTGCACAGCAAGTTATTAATAAATATACCCTTTGGTGTCAGATTGCTGTGGGAGGATCCTGATACCGGAGGGCCCTGCCCTGCCCCGTAAGCAGCTATAGAGAGGAACCCCCTCATGATGGTAGGACCCATGGTTTCCAAATGGAATATCACCCAAAGCCTCCACCAGCTTGCCTTCTTCCAATACTGCATCGTGGTAGGAACTCATGGTTCACCCGGCCAAAACTGTGTGAATCCCATTCTTCAGGAAACTTGCTGAGGCAAGGTCCACCCAAATACTAATGGTTCACCCAGCCAAAACTGGGTGGATCCGAGGCTTCAGGAAACCTGCCGAGGCAAAGTCCATCCAAATATTCATGGTTTATCCGGCCAAAACTGGGCAGATCCCATTCTTCAGGAAACCTGCCGATGCAAGGTCCACACGAATACTCTTGGTTCACTCTGCCAAAACTGGCTAGATCCTGTTCTTCAGGACACCTGTCGAGGCAAGGTCCACCCAAATACTCATGCTTCACCTAGCCAAATCTAGGTGGATCCCATTCTTCAGGACACCTGCCGAGGCAAGGTCCAACCAAATACTCATGGTTCACCCGGCCAAAACTAGGCGGATCCCATTCTTCAGGAAACCTGCCGAGGCAAGGTCCACCCAAATATTCATGGTTCACCTGGCCAAAACTAGGCGGAGCCCATTCTTCAGGACACCTGCCGAAGCAAGGTCCACCCAAATACTCATGGTTCACCTGGCCAAAACTAGGCGGATCCCATTCTTTAGGACACCTGCCGAGGCAAGGTCCACCCAAATACTCATGGTTCACCCGGCCAAAACTAGGCGGATCCCATTCTTCAGGAAACCTGCCGAGGCAAGGTCCACCCAAATATTCATGGTTCACCTGGCCAAAACTAGGTGGATCCCATTCTTCAGGAAACCTGCCAAGGCAAAGTCCATCTAAATACTTGTAGGGGACCCCAAAGGGGGAGAAGGAGATCCTGACCATAAGACTTTCAGGGCAAATCAAGAGGACCTACATGCTACTAAATGTTGGTGAGTTAAAATGCATAGAGCCATGAAAAAGTCCAAAAATAAAAATATTTGGATGCCATGGCTGACCTTCCGGCCAGGAGAAAAGTTCCTCCGGTCCCAAGTGATTTGGATGCCATGGCTGACCTTCCGGCCAGGAGAAAAGTTCCTCCGGTCCCAAGTGATTTGGATGCCATGGCTGACCTTCCGGCCAGGAGGAAAGTTCCTCCGGTCCCAGCCAAACAGCCCACCCCCGGTGTGGGAAAAAAAAAGCATCCATTGGGTGCTGTGTCCAGAGCTGGGACAAGGGATGGGCAGCTGCCCTGGGCACAGTGAAGTAACGGGGCAAATAGTAGAGGCATAGGGGGGAGGGGAACAATGCAGGATTCTTGCCCTGGGAGCTGGACGACACTGTCCCATTACTGGCTGTGCCATACAAAAAAAAGTGCAGAGGATGCACCCCTGGCCCGGATCCCCCCCCCCCCCCGGCATTTAGGAGCCCCCAAATCCATTGGCTTCCCCATATTTTATTCTCTATCTCTCTCTATGTTCTAATATTTTCAACTGCCCCCCCCAATTGGATATTTGACCTTTTTGAGCACTTCCATATTTCTTGCCTAGGCAAGAATGACATAGCGCCCCCCGCAGCCTATTGGGCAGTCACATAGCGAGTTACCCCACTGTGAAGTGTTCTGGCACCCCTGGAGTGGGCAAGCATCACTGGCTTGAACCTCTTCTTGCCCCGGATGAAGCCGGGGCTCACGCACTCTCTGCCATAGGATTTGGAAACTAATTTCTGGGTGTGTCTCCGGAAGGATGCGATTCATGGAGACAGAAGACATTTGAAGTATCGTTGCTTATGCCCTGCCCTGCCCCGTAAGCAGCTATAGAGAGGAACCCCCTCATGATGGTGAACGGACTGCATAACCCTGGCAGCCAGAAATAACTCCGGTTTTTGCTTTTTCTGGGCTTTTTGTATGTAAATTCAGAATTTACACCAGCAAACGTGACATTTACCGCCAGCCCTGCGGAATGCGCGTATAAAGGATTCCATCTTTTAAAGCGGCCGGGGATCTCCCAGTTCCACAATTAACTGCTAACATATGCCATCACTGCCAGGAGGATTTTTTTTTAAATTCCCTTTAAACATTATTGTAGCATTTTTGTTTCTGTCGCAATAAGTCGTCCATCTGCATTTGGACCTGCTGGGAATCCTGGGATAAGGGAAGGGAGGAGTACGGACGGATTGGGCCATACAGGACAGGTCCCCTTTAAGCCCGGAAGTAGCTGTGTGTAGCCATGAGTCACATCTGATGTTTGCCGTCACCGGGAACGCGGCGTGTGTTTCTGCTGTAAACATTTAATATTCTGATTGAGGTCTGCAGAGTTCACCTCATCTCCTGGAAACTGTGACCGACTTTTCCCTGATTATCCCGAATATCCCAGACTTTAGTCATAGATTTCTGTTATTTTTTCCCCTAATAGACGTGTCTGTCTGCAACGTTCTGATTTCATTTAATTCTACAGATGGAACAAACAGAAATTCACAGGCCAATAAAAAGCAGAATCTGTGTAGTGCGCAGCGGGATCGTCTGAAGAGGGGGGGGGAAGGTGCTTACAGCAGATCTACACCGATCAGCCATAACATTCTGACCACTAACCAGGGGCATATTTACCACAAGGCAAACAAGGCACTTGCCTAGGGTGGCATTTTTCAGGGGGGCAGCACCTCCCCCCAGAAAAAGGGACGTGTGCACCATGGGAACCAGGGGGGGATCCGAGAGAGGCTGCT